AGCTCAATTAAACTGTTAAATTTCCTGTAGGTTTGGAGAGTTGAGTGGAATATAACTGGCACAATTCTGGCTTCCTCTGGAGATGATGGCTGTGTACGTTTATGGAAAGGTAAAGTGATAAAAAAAGGAGTTTGTTTTCCTAAATCATTTTTTGTTTAAATTAGAATTTGGATGTACTAGGATTTGAGTGAAACATTTTCAACACTGATTCTAAGCAATCGCTTATTACCAAGCCAAACTGAATACAGAAGGGAGCAGTTTGACCTGAAATTTGCAGGACTACTTGGACATTAACTTTTTTAGCAGAGCCACACATTATGAAGGCTAATCAGCCTTAAATCTTATCCAATCCTTTTTCCTATCAGCTAACTATCTTAACAACTGGAAGTGTATAACAGTTTTACGTGGAGATGGCATCTCAGGTTCCATGCCTGGCCCCAGTATGAGTGGTCCAATCATGAATGGGCAGGATCCAAAACAAGGTCTTGCTGCATTCAAGACACAGACTTCATGGTACACATCATAACACAGTACTCTCTGTTTACCAAGGACACCTTTTTAGATGCTGATCAGAATACATTTTGATCAACACCATCAGCAATTAACAAGAGTAACAAAGAATTAACTGAGATATGAGCTAATCAGACATCTTGGTAAACTTCAGTATTTACAATTACTAGTTACAAGTGGAAGAAAACACCAGTGAAAGAGCTTTTTTTTTTCTTTCTAAGAATAAGAGAACAGTTCTAGCTCTAGTTTTATGAAGGGTAGATATCACTGTTACTGTGGATAGGGCAGTAAGTTTTCCTAACACCTATTGGCTGGATACCAATTATCCCTTAATTACAGTTGTCTGCCCTTTAAACAACTGGAACCTGATAAACTTATTTCTTCAAGCAGATGCCTCTCAATATGGATAGATTTTAGGAAAGATGAAGGAAAAATTCCATATAGAAGAGAAGGGTGTTGAACTTTGTCCTGTTGAATGAACCAAAATTTCCTGGAGGGAGCTTTCCAGGGGGAGGGGTGCAGGGAGGAGACTCGCAGCTTATTGATAAACTTTGCAGCTATATATAATCTGCTGTCGTTTGTTATGTATTCTCAGTAGTTACATTATGCTATTCAGTGCCTAGTCAGTAGCCTTCTCTTTGTTGTTTGCTTCAAAAATTTGCTTTAATCACCTGTCAATTACTTGCTTACTAGCAGTGTACCCCCTTCTAAGAAAAATGCTGGATCCACTCCTGCGAATGGGTACAAAATCGTATCATTGCATATTCAGTGAATTAAACTTAATTCCTACTATATGTTTATGGAAGAGTCAGATCAACAGAAAAAATGTTAGTCACAATCAGGTATGATTTCTTTTGGTATTGTGCTAATCTACAAGTATTTGTTCCATACACATACTGTTGTTAATTAATTCTATTCTTTAGGAAGCACTTAGTAGGCTTAAATATGTAGAAGTAGTTGACTTTGGTTGGTTAATCACTTCTTCTTGATAGGTGTATCTGTACAGTGTGCCTATTCGCAGTACTGATTGTGATTAATTATTGCTGAGGTCCTTTTGACCAATTTATCAAGGAAAACGGTTTCGTTCAGAATTGTGAAAGCTGTACAATAGTGTTTTAAGGATACCTAGTACCTAACCATTCTTTGATTTTCCTTTGAGGAACATACCTATCTTGGTAAATAAAACATATTTTTAAACACTTAGTTAGAGTGTTTATAGGCAGGCAAACTGCCTCAGTCTATAGAATTGATGCAGCTAAAGTGAGTCACACCTCACATAAAAAAACATTATCCCTTTTCAAGTCATTAGTAACAAACAGAGAATTTTCACCTCCACAAAAAAAACAATCATTTTTTCAGACAAAAGAAATAAATTCAAGAATAATATTACCATATTCTTGATGTCTAGAAGACACTGACATTTGTCCTTGGTGGGTTTACTTGTGAATTCGTGTTTCTCTTCAAATTATTCAAAAGTCACACACACAGCAAAAAACTAAATGAATCCATTCAACTGCTTAGAGCTAAATTCAATCCAGACTTAAAAAACAATGTAAGTCCTATCTCACAATCAAAATTACTGAGGACTTCACAAAAAAAACAAAAATTTGCAGTCAACTTATTTTCATACCAAAAGCATTTGATCCACTGAGGCTTGAATCAAACAAAAAACAAAACCCTTAAGTGTTTTTTTCCCAACGTAACCAAGGAAAAACATTAATATTCTTTTTAAAACTAAATCTAAAAATCTCAAAGCTGACAAATCCAATGAAAAGGTTTAACTTCTACTAATCAAGAACGAATACTGATACTTTTCCAAGATAAAATATAAAAATTCTATGTTTTATATCTGGACATAGTCTGTGACAGACTAATTTAAAATAAAATTGTATTTTAGGAAGGCCATATATCCATGTGAGTTGCGACCCAAAAGAAAAAATGCTATCATAATTGTACTGAATTTAATTTTCATGCACTGCATATGTCTTAATCCTTAAGCACACTGCAGATATTTTCTTTCTCTGTGACTACAATTTCTTGTTAAAATGTTGCATTGTACTTCTTCAGTGATGCTGTGATTGGGAGTGATTCCAGATCTTCCCCTTTTGTAACACATTTCTTGATGTTTCACAACACAAATCAAGAAGTGGTGGCACTAGAGTGAGAAAAGTATGTTAGATTACAACCATAGTGGTAAGCCACACCATTCTGTATTGAGCACTTGATTGTTTCCCCCTTAACTACTGTAATTTTCAACCTTATCCAGCAGTCATGGTCACCCTCAATTGCATCCCATCAGCCTCATGCTAATTGATCTGTGTAATCTGTTGCATGGACAACATTCTGTCACATATAGGTTAAACTGGAATTTTCCCCATGACATGAGAGGCAATGCAAGCAACTTGCCTTGACAGTTATCAAGAGTGTTTAGCTCTCTATTGTATCCTCACTGTGTCAGGCATTGTGGCACATTCTGCACGTGGAAGTATTGGTGGGGTTAAATGTATTTTAGCTCGTCATATGCTTGCACAGTGGCATGACCAATCAGACTGTTGGTTGTTATTTAATGATAATAATAGTAATACATTAATTTTATGTTCTTGGGCATTAATTTGTTTTGGGCCCTTCTCAGAGTCATTTTAACTCTTGCCTTAGCAGCTGAAGCTAAAATCACTCTAAGTTGGGCCCAAAACATGTTAATGTCCATGAACATAAACTCTGCTGTTTTGTTATATATGTAAGTTCAAATGTTTTTGAAATAAAAGCTAGCACTAAGAAGTCATGATGTTTCAACCTCTCTGAGGTCATTTTCAAGTGAGTAAGTTTTCCAAATCAGCATAAATATGTTGAAGCAAGTTGAAGACTATAAAATGTGGCCAACGCTAAAATATGTGAAAAAGTGTAAACAATATACAATGGAAGAGAATAAAAGAATAAAAGAATTGTAGCACGAATTGTTCTAAACAAATAGTTTGGCACGAATTGAATTTCACTGTTTGTTTAGTGTTGGTTTCAGTTCTTTGATAAAAAACATTTCAAAAACAAGGCAGTCAAATTTGTTCTGACACTTCCTTAAGATTCGAAAATTCTGTGTGATGTCTTTTGGCTCCAAGACGTGCTGATCCCTGAGGTGGTATCCGATTGCCGATCCCTTGTGTTCTTCAATTCATTGGTGTAAGTGTCTGCACGTGTAGCCGACATGGCCTGCATCACACAGGCCACACTGAAATGAATACACCACCCATTGTTGACTCACAAGAGGCAGTTTGTCTTCCCTCACCCTAATTTCATTCTTGATCTTTTTACTTGTATAAACTGGGCTAATATCTATGTTGATCTTCCGACTGAGGTCAGCCAACTGTTTCCGTACTACGTTTGCAGATTTCTGGTCTTTGTAGGGCAACACGATTCTGACTGGGGCTTCTCTTTTATCAGTCAATCGACATTGAACAAGTCTCATCCCTCTATTGATTTCACAATTGAACTGCAAGAAAATGGTAGGCATCCCGTTCTCGGAATGGTTGCCGCCTAGACACCATGGTCTACAGAAAACCGAAGGACAGAGGGCTTTTGCTACACAATCACAGTCACGTTGACGCCAGATACAAATGGTCACTGCTGATCACCACACTAAACCGTGCATTCCAACTCTCGTCTACATGGAAGTTTTTTCATGAGGACTGTGAATGCCCTATAGAGATCTTCTCCCAACTGTGCTATCCTGACGACCTTGTGCAGTCAACCATTTGCAGATTCGTTGAATCAAAAGTGTTTGAGGATTCACATACCCGACTGACTGATAAAAGAGAAGCCCCAGTCAGAATCGTGTTGCCCTACAAGGACCAGAAATCTGCAAATGTAGTACGAAAACAGTTGGCTGACCTCAGTCGGAAGATCAACGTAGATATTAGCCCAGTTTATACAAGTAAAAAGATCAAGAAT